ATGATGGATTAATTTCACTTAGTATATAAAATATTACTGCAGCACCTATATAGTGTAATTTATACCCCCTATGCTGACCATAGTATCCCTCCGACTATAATACCCATATATACAGCTTAAATTGTAAAGTACCCTGGGTATTTTAGTCCACGCTGTACGGTACTTATCGTTATTACTTTGTTAGCAAATTTTTTTTTGTTAAGTTACATGAATTTTTAGTGCTCGATATATTAGTCACGTGATGGTCGAAATTTTTTTGAGTGGGACTCAAGTCCCGAACTCGTAGGCAGAAATTCGTCTGATTGGCTAATAAATTCAATTTAATTTTACATTATTTATACAGTTACGTTTTTTTTTTAAAAAAAGAAAACTAATTATAATGAAATAAAAAAAAGCTGTATAGAAGAACTTCATAGTCAAGAATAAGATCTAATTCTCGTTCGTTTAAAAAAATTAGCTTAGTAGTAAGTTGATTTTATCAGGTTTTGAGAAGTTATTACTATGCTACCTTTTTTAAATGGACGAGAATTAGATCTTATTTTTGGCTATGGAGTCCTTCTATACAGCTTTTTTTATTTCATTATGATTAGTTTTCGTTTTTTCAAAAAAGTAAACTAAACTGTATAAATAATGTAAAATTAAATTGAAGCTAATAGCCATTCAGACAAACTTCTGCCTATGAGTCAAGGTCGGTTCTGGGTTTCGATTCGAGTTCGTGGATCACTATACCGAATAATTACAATATCCACATATTGTAATTTATCAAGTGTGATGGTTTGATAAAAAAAAGATTTAAGTACTGTGCCGGATTTTTTTTTAAAAAAATAATATACGTAGTTAATACAAAAATTGAAATTAATTGCGATTATTTCTTCATTAATTTGACTCATTTAATTTTTATATGATCAATTCGGTAGGCCTAAACATTACTATAAAAGTTTCTCAATTGATAGTGTGGTTTTGTCATGATTATAAGTATTGGTGTCATGTTAATAGGGTTGTAAATAAACAGTTTTAAACATTTTTTCACCGATTTAAAACGAGTGATGATTAAATCCGAATAGTTAAATCTGGATTTGAGCATATTTCTGCATTTAGAATTATAATCATCACTTATTTTTAATTACACAATAAAAACTTTTCCTATCTTTACATGTTAACAAATACATTAAATCTATTAAAATTTAATCATTTTAGAACAGGGTTAAGTGAAATCCTCGTTTTATTATGTTTTCATTTTTATATAGGTTACATTTTACTGTTCCATTAGACTTTACTTTTTGTAATGAAAAAAAGAACATATGGGAAATAGTCTCATTATCCTAAATGGCGCATTTTGACATCAACAAATTCCATATAAAACAAGTAAATTAATAATTTCATACTAAATCAACGCACAGGCTAAGCACTATATACTACAAAATTATATCAAAATCTGTGTACTGCAATCGCAACCACGAAGTCTATGACACTCTTTCGTAATTTAAGGACCTTACACTGCCACTGTAATCTATAACTTTATTATACTTTCTAAAGTTCTTGCACCATCACTGCAACTAAAGATTCTATAAAATCATACATAGTCTCAGACATATTAGCTTGTGGTTTTTCATTGGTTTAGTTAGTCATTTTTTGTCATTTTATTATTCAAGGCTTATAAGAAATGAATGAGTGCTGGAGAACAATGTAAGGGTATTTCTGAGTTCCTTCTTATTCAATGAACCAAAGCCAAAGATTTATTTAGATGAGACATTGAAAAGTGAGTTATTAGAGCTATTATTTTGATGAAAGTGCAAACCCGATAGTGGTCACATGCACACAATCATAGTTTTACCTCGGTATGAATAAAGTCAATTTTTAAGTTATAGAAAATATACTTGTTCATATTTAGAAAAAAAAATTTCTAGCTATCCTAATAAATACATTTGAAAATGTTATTTTGAATATATGTAAAATTTTTTTATTTAAATTAGTCCAAGAAAGGGAATCAAAAAAAACACGAAGTATAAAATGAAAGCTTTAAGTTTGTCTATGAAATCAATTGAAAAAGGCAATTATTTTTAGAATATTACTGTGAAAGCCAATTGTGGAACAATATTAATCATCTTTTTCGTTGCAATCAACGTGATGCCTATGTCAATTACGTATTAGGCGTATCAGATTATGATTAGTATTAACTTAAGATAGATTAATTAGACTATTATATATTAATAAGATCTTCGAATGGCATAAAAATGATTTTTTAATTTTGTCATATCGTAGTTAATATAAATTTATTATAACAACGATCTGTAAAATTCTTTTTTGTAAAAAAAAAAAAAACAATGAACAAATTACCGAACGAATGCCTCTTTAAAATATTTATTAACCTTAAAGGTTATGATAGAAATTTATTTTCATGTATTTTTGTAAACCGTCAATGGTGCAGAAATATCATACCGATATTATGGAATGGACCTGTACCTTTTTATAATAGAAAATTTATAAGAACATGCCTTTTAGGATTAAACGTTGAAGAACAAGCACAATTAATTCCATTTGAAATAATGCTTTCAAATAATCCAAAGCCGTTATTTGAATACACAACTTATATTACAGCTATTGACATTGTTTCCGATGATGGAATTATAGATTGGCTTAATCATGAAGGATCTCAAGGTTTAATAAACTATAAATATGTGGCACAATCGATTAAATATTCTTTGATTGCAATGTTTTTACGAACATGTGTTAAACTTAAAGATTTAAACATCTATAGTATAGGTTGCAGTAATATAATGAATTCATTAGCAGAATTACTTTATATTAAAAATACAACATTGACTTCTTTGAGTATTACTAGTAGTAATTTCGATTTTGAAGGTGGAAAAATAGCTGATGCTCTTCGTAAAAACACCACTCTGACTTCTTTGAGTCTTGAAAATAATCATCTTGGATTAAAAGGTGGAAAAGAATTGGCTGAAGCTCTTTGTGAAAATTCTACTCTAACTTCTTTGTATCTTTATAATAACAAGCTTTGCGCTGAAGTAGGAAAAGCGTTTGCAAAAGTTCTTTATAAGAATACTAGTTTAATTCACTTGAATCTTTCAGGAAACGAACTTTCTTCTGAAGGTGTAAAAGCTTTAGCAATATCTCTTTGTACGAATACTACTTTGACTTATTTGAGTATTTGGAATAGTCAACTCGGTTTTGAAGGTGTAAAAGCACTATCACAAACACTAGGTGTAAATAATACTTTGACGTACTTAGATATTAGTAATAATGATCTTGGTTCTGAAGAAGGAAAGATGTTAGCTGAGGCACTTTGTAAAAACACAAGCCTTGCCTTGCTGGATCTTCGGTATAATGAGCTTTGTTCTGAAGGTGGAAAAATATTAGCTGAAGCACTTTGTAAAAATACTGCTTTAACACATTTAAATCTTTCTAATAATCTACTTGGTTCTGAAGGAGGAAAAGCGTTAGCCAAGACTCTTAGTGTAAACAACACACTAACCGAATTGAATCTTAACCATAATCAAATTGGTATTAAAGGTGGAAAAGCATTAGCGGGAGCTTTTTGTGTAAATACTACACTAACTCACTTGGATATTTCGAATAATTTTCTTTATTTTAGAGGAGGGAAAGCGATAGCGGAAGCACTTTGTAAGAATAATATTTTGACACATTTGGACCTTTGTAATAATTATCTTGGTTCTGAAGGAGGGAAAGCATTAGCAAAAGCACTTTGTAAAAATAATAGATTAACACACTTAAACCTTAATAGTAATCAACTTGGTTCAGAAGGTGGAAAAGCGTTGGCAGAAGCCCTTTGTGAAAATGAAGCCCTAATTTTATTGGATATTTGGGATAATGAACTTGGATCTGAAGGTGGAAAAGCATTTGCAAAAGCTCTTTGTAAGAATACTACTTTAACATCTTTACATCTTGATGATAACCAACTTGGATCAGAAGGTGGAAAAGCATTTGCGGCGGCACTTTGTAAAAATTCTACTTTAACATCTTTACATCTTGATGATAATCAACTTGGATCTGAGGGTGGAAAAGCATTTGCGAAAGCACTTTGTAAGAATAAAGCATTGATTTCTTTGTATCTTGGCGATAATCAACTTGGCTCTGAGGAAGGAAAGGAATTAGCTGAGGCACTTCGTAAAAATACCACATTGACCTTCTTATATCTTGAAGGTAACCCAATTAATAATAAAACTGTATATTTAATTAACAACTTGCTCGTAAAGAATAATAATAAGATTTAATATGCCCTCTTTCTAAATTAAATGTATCATTTGCTATACTTGTAGAGTTATTATACTTATAGCTTTTTAAGTTTGTAGTTGTTAATAATTTTTTTTTGTCATAGCAAAGTTTCAGACCACACAATTGTAATAAACTGTCGAATAATTTAAATTTATAGTAAGTATTGTAAAGTTGGTTAATTGGCTTTATATGCCATCATTCCAATCTGTTTTTATAGATTTTAAAACAAAAACAAACCTTATAAATCAAAAATTCGATGCGAGCCTTTTAAAGGATAAATATTTGTCATATTTAATTATGTCACTTTTGTCTTGGATTTTCTTTGTTTTATTGGAATCTGAAGTTTTTTTTTTAATACCTTTACTGCAAGAAACGCCAATTGGCGTACTTTTATTGATTAATTATCTACTTGTGTTACAGGGTGACGATGTTATTTCCCGCTATATATATGAATATGGGAAATTAATTATTTACAAATACCATTGATAGCTTTTTGAAGAGGGTAACTTTGGCTTTACTTCTATTATTCACGACTATTCTTTTCAGGATTTTAGGTTTCCTACCTGTTCTGTTTTTGATCACATAGGGGAGAACAGGATCCGGTATATACTCCTCTCCCCACCTTGCTCGTGTGAGTATATACTTCTCTTCCTACCTTACTCGTGTGAATAGTTTAAAGTTGTAATAGCTTCTATAATTCAAAGATTAATATACAGTATATGGTTATTTAAATTTAAGAAAACTTGATGGAGAGTGATACATATGTAAATAGAATAATATCAGGAATGGTTAGATTATTTGGATTAGGTCATACTAAAGATTTTATATCACGGAGACCTGTCACGTTGTTGTTCTGTGGTTGTGACTATATATTCGGCCTAAAATATCATTTATTTTTCAGTTTAGACTATACTTGTTGGCAAAATCCTGAACTACTATAGTTTGGGTTTGTCCTAAACTGTGGCCAAATTAAGAATAGGGTATTTCATGTGATCTATGATATAGTAAAATTACGGCATAGCAGATTACTTGTACAACTAAACTAAAAATAGCATTTTATTTATCAACCAATCAAATGGCTTTTACATTTATTATATTTAAATGTTTCTAATCATGAATTTTTAGTTATTTTTTGTCTTGCTTCTAAGGCAACTTCAGATATAATAGAGTTATATATTATTATTAAAAAACCTAATCATATTGGTTTAATTTTTATAATTTGTATGAACAATTCTATACAAAGCTTGTAAACACATGTTTCTAGTTTAAATAAATTTTTTTTAGTCATTTTGTATTTTTGTTTTTTTACAAGAAAATTAATTTTTTTTTAGTATTCTTAATGCTGTTTTTATACAACTATTAATAACATTATAATTAAAATTTATTAATTGTATTGTTGAATTATTTGCAAATTCTACTAATTGATTTACTATATTTAAAATTAATCAAAATTTACTATTATATTAACCAATTTTATTAGTAATATGTTTTTTTTACTTGATTATATTATTATTTCTTCATATCTTTTTTTTATATTTTACAATCTTCCTCTTAGATCTAGCTTTTTTAATTCTATTTTTATTTTATCTGATACATTTTTTAATAATTATATTTTAAACTTTTTTGATTATAACTCTTTTTTGCTTCTTTCTGATTCAAGTTCTTATTATCTTTATCTAACTATTATTATACACAATATTCAAAGTTTCAATAAACTTATAAAAAAAGAAGTCTAACAAAACTATTTTTTCAACAATAATATATCTATTGCAAATATTACAGAAACAAAAAAAAATATTCAATGAAACTAATCTTTTTCTTTGTAATAACAATCTTTATATCTATTATTAGTCTAATTTCTAAAGTTTTATAGAAGTTACAGTTATTATAATTTATAATTACTTCAAATCTTATATTCAAAATGTTCTTATTATTTAAGAAATACTATAATATTTAATATTTTTATGATATAATGTTAAGCTTTGTATTATTTTTATACACTTGTTATTTATAAACATTATTATTATAACCAAACTTAAAATACAGTAATCTACTAAATTTAATAAGTATCTTAACTTTACTTTTATTCTATTATCTTTAATAATTCTAATATATAGAATAACACTCACAATTCTTCTTTTTCTAAATATAAACTTATAAACTTTCTCAATTACTCTAATATATATAATATTGAAATTTATTTTAATAATAAACATTTTATTTTGTCTAACAATATTAGTAGTAATCATATTAACTATATTTGAACTAATTAATTTAACATACAGAAAGGACCAATTCTGTAACTCTCTTTGTAGATCACTTGTACCAAATTTTTGCTAAAAACATTTAATTATTTCTCAATATTTTATTAAGTAAACCTTACTTGTACTTCTAAGTAAAATTACTCAACTCACTTTTCTCCTCTTAGGCAGCCAAGTTTTATGCTCATACAATACTTAGCCACTGAGAAAAGTTTCAAAAACCAAAAATTTGGTTTTGCTTATTTAATATATATTTTACTAATTAAATATACCTTATTACCTATTAGAAAAAGAACAAGCTCTCTGTTCTGGTCATTTTAATATATAATTTATCATAAACAAACCAAAACTCACCAAGATATAAACAAAAAGGTGAAAACTAAAACCTGTCTTTGCAGGTTTTTTCATTGGCATTTTAGGAAAAACTGCTGGGTTGCCCGGATTTTTCATTTTTCTGGCACCTATTAAAATTTCCTAAACATTCAATTAGTTTTTACAAATATATCACACTTCACAGATTGCTTCTAAATAGTCTGGAAGTCTAGATAATTAAGAAATTTTTCTTATAAACAACATTACACAAATAATTCGTACTATTTAAATTTTATAAATATTATCATTAAAGATAGTTACACATAATGCCAAGCATTAATAATATGGAACCTAACTCCTTCGATCTTGATAATTACATTGCCAAACATAGTAACAGTTCTGGTACTGTTACTCATGATAGCAACATTCGTATCCTTAAAGTCCTATCTATCAATTTCAATTCTAAAACATATGATCTTCAAAACAACTTTCATTTCTTCGTAAAACCTACTGGACCAGTCATTACTACCTGTTATTGTAAAAAATATTATACATACTTTGCCTCACAACATATTACTACTCTTGCAAATTTCCAACCAACTCCTGAAAACACTTCTGATGCATCTAATTCTATGGAAATTGACTTCGATATGAAACTCTTCAAATCTCTAAAAAGTCTCTCAAAATCCAAATTCCAACCAAAACATGAAATTACTCACTCATTTCCTACTTTCTGTAGTGATATTAGGAAAACTTCTACAAATCCTGTCCCTTTCAAACCATTCTCTTATCATGCACATACATGCATTATATATAAAATTAAGAATATACTATGCATTATTCTTAAAGATAACAAACACTCACTTGATCCACAAACTCTGACTTTTGTAACTGGTGAAGAAAGCTTTCCTGCTTATGCACATTGCATTCATCTTCTCAAACTTAAATACTTAACTCTCTCAATACCAATGAACTGGGAACAATGTAATTTATATTGTAAAATCAAATGCTTCCAATTATTAGCTAAAGATAAATGTATATTTTTCAAAAAATTTCTTCAAAAATTGTCCCAAAAAAACCAGAACTACAAATGAATCTAAGAATAATGATCAAACTAAAAACAACAAAATACAAACAAATCAAAATAATAATGATCTAAAACAAAAAGACAAACAAAAAGAAAAAGAAAAAGAATCTATACAAAAATGCAATACAACAAATAACTTGACTGATTCTTAAATTATCCTATTACACCTAAAATGCAAAAACATAGTAAACTAAGCACACCATTAGCCTTAAAAGTTTTTTTACTTCTAAAATCATATCTTGTAAATTTTAACCTCGGACAAGAAATTACTAACGATTCAACTGATTCAAAACTTAACAATAGACCTTCTGCTAAATATTCATTTAACTACATACTTAACAAAATGGCTAATAGCAAACCTAAGTTTTTAACTGACTTCATTCTCGAAGCCAATTCTGAGTTTAACTAATCTAACCCTATTCTTTTTAAAGTCTTAGTTGAAACTCTTAAAGGTTTAGTTGCAAAATTTACAACAATACTTTTTACTCAACTGAACTATATATACATTTTTCGATCATATTATTTCATCCTACTATACTTAACAAATAACAGGAAAAAAGTTGCCATTAATATGACACGCTTATACTTATACCTAAATCATACTTACAAAACTATCAACTTTGAAAAATTTATGAAAAAACTCGACATCAAACCTTTACACTTTACTTTAAATTTTAATATAGATTATATTGCAGATAAGCTACTATTTGATATTTAAAATAACAATAGATTCAACATTAAAGTTACATTAAACATTTCTGCTAAAAAATTTGAAGATGACTTCAAAATTCCTTCACTTAAACCTCATACCCAAACCTATGAAACCTGGTTCCAAAAATTTTTCGATAAATACAAAATTCAATTTGAAAAAATTGATCAACAAAAAACAAGCAACTACATCAAAATATTAATATCTCAAAAGCTTGTTGAAGACTGCAAAAAACTTTTATCAGAAACTTATTTTCTTCCAAATATCCTATTCTCATTCCAAGAATGTTCTAAAGCTACTTTCAAAGCAGCACTTCATCACTTCTATAAATGTCATAACAAATTATGCAACTTACTCCTAGATAACACAGAACACAAGCTCGAAAATATTTCTCAATTTTACTTCTCTCAATCATTCAAATTTTATCCAGTACTAGAATCTAATTCAAAAGAATGGGAACACCCTCCTTTAGAAACTAAATTATTCCAACCTGACCAACAACTAGCAGCAACCTTTGCAAAGCCAACACTTATAACTGAATTAAGAAAATTAGCTACATCTACTGAAGAAAGCTTTGCATCACTTAACAATATTAATAATGAAGTAGCTCGAACAACTTACTATTTCTATCAATACTTAAAAAATTATTTACAAACAGCAGCTAAAAATAATGGAATTCAAGAGTTATCTAAAGAGAAAGCTCTTGAAAAAATCATAGACTCCACTACTGATATGCATACTCTAGCACATATAATTACCTACTATGAAATCCAATCCTAATTTAAAGTCTTTCTTAAACAAACTAGAATTGACTATGACAAAACTTACTATCCAGAAGCAGAAAATTTTATAATCAAACATCTCAATATCTCAATTCCTACTCAATACAATAACATGCTCTTCATGCAAAACCAAAACGAATTTGAAGCTGAAAAAGAAAATTCAACTCCACCTACTATTCAGGATAATAATCCTGATGACTCAAGAAACAGTCGACAATTTTACACAAAACCAAGAAACTCCTTTTCAATAAGTTCTTCTACAGAAAACATTAAAGCAATTGCCACTTCTAAGATTATGATGTCCTTTACTATTAGTAGGCCATTCTTAGAAGAGAATGATGACAGTAGGCAGGCAGTAAAGCCTATTGTAGTGAAGGACCAGGAATATGATGGCCAGACCCAATATACAGGACAGGCTATGGTATCCTTCACAGCTGTGCAAGCTGAGCTTAAAACAGTAAGTGACTTTGTAAAAGACATTACAAATACTATCTCTACTTCCAATGCTTCAACTTCTACAAAGATAGACAATTGTTGCAAGAAATTTTTAAAATATTACAAACTACCTAAATACTGGAACCTGTTACACTTATCAAATTCATTCAACACCTACACCAAAATTCTTTTTTTAATCCAATTAAAATATCTATAAAT